GAAGAAAATAATAAACACTAGATTACATCTTTAAAAAATATAAACAACATCATCAATATTAGATATATTACAGTTAATAAATTACTAAAAAATTTAAAAAAAATATATCATAAAATATAAATATAATAATAAATAGTATCAATACAGCACTTAATACTCTTTCTTTACTTATAACCCAAACACTTAGAAGCATATTTACAAAGCACAAACTAAATAATAAACAAAATTGTAAGCAAAGCAGAAAAAAAAAAACTAACCAAAACTATATTACACAAAATCACTAAAGGTATATTTTAACAAATCTGATTTCTCAGATGTTAACAAATTAAAAAAAAAACAAAATTCAAACAGAACAACAATCTTTAAAACAAGCAAAAAGACATAACAAGATAAACTATAAACTACAACTAAAAAAATTCTACAGATCAAGCAGTAAAAAAAAAACAATTTTATAGTCTCTAAACTTCATTCAAAACAACAACTTATCAGCAACCATTGCACAAATCAAAATATAGACAAGGCCTATGCCCCTCTTAGTAAAGTTTGGATTAAAGTAAAATAGTTCTAGCAAATGTTTTAGATAAATATATATACAATATAAATTAGTTATTTATAACGTAATTATATATTAAATAAAAAAAAACAGAGCAAGACCTCACTTTTTTTTTTTTTTAAAAAAAAAAAAATGCTGTATATTTTTTATACAAATCTTATATCAAAATAATTAGATAACTTTATTGTTATGAATTATTATATGATTTTTTCATATAATTATTAATAATAAGTTGTAAGATATAGTAAATTATGTCTCATAACTTGATTTTCAAAGCAAAACCCCAAATGTTAGTAAGCTAATATTTTTTGATTTTTTACACAGCAGTACAAACACTGGACAATAATGCTTTTATTTTGAATAAAAACTGTATAGGGTCTAACAAAATATAATATATTTAGGACAATTTTTTTATAGGGTTTTGGAACCGAAGGTGTGATTGTAGAATTTGGTCTCTAAATTCAAATTTTAGCATAATGCAAACCCAGAAAAATTCTTTGGACCTCTGATTTATACCGAAAATGTGTCTAATATATCTTCCCTCATTATATGACTCATTTTGATACATCTCAATAGACAGCAAGTATATATATATATATTGCACTATTATTTGGGAATCACAAATATTCGGTTGGTCAATTTTTGTCAGATTTTCCAAAATTTATGAAAATAGCTGTAAAGGGTTACGTGTCAATTCCTGACATCACACTGCGTGAAAATTCACGAATAAAATGTAAATTATCACCCGAGTGATGTAGGTTAAATGGTTTGTCAGAAAAATGGCTGTCAGGAGTTTCTTTAAAGTATTTTTTGAGACTGTGTCGGTTCACTAATAACATTTACTGTTAAAAATATAGAATGTTATTAGCTTTACCAAAAGTCAGCTATATTTAAGTCAAATCTAACAAAAGTTAAGCTGAATAACAGCTTAAGCTATAATCTAACTCATGGCTTTATTTATTGCTTAAAGATTATTGATTTCTAACTTTTATTTGTGACTTGAAGCAGCCTGAACGAATGAGTTAAGGTAGCCTGAGCTATGGCTTGAAGTAGCTTGAGTCATAGCTTGAAATATTGTTATCCTATTCATCATATTCTTTAGACTTCATGAACATGAATGTCAACAATCTTTTATAACATCCTCGATATAAGTTTATTCAACTGCTCTCTGTGATTTTTAATATTTTCTTCTTTTTTTCCACGGATTTTCTGATGAGTTGATGAAATGATAATCGTGATCATCAAAGACAAAAAACGATTTTACAATTTGATTGACTAGATAGATATTTTGATTGAATTGATATTATAAATAATATCGTCTTTCATATACCTTTCTTTTTATTACTGTTACATCCACATAGTCTATTTATAAATATTATTATTTGTTTACATATTTACCTAAGTCATGAAAGTTTTACGATTGATCCAGCAACGATGAACATAATACGTTCATTTATTATTCAAAATCAGAGATGAGTGACGCTAGCAGGATATTTAAAGTTGGATATTGGTTATGTCGATGAATTGGTATTAAAAAGGATAAACATAAGGGCATTCAAAAATCCACAGAGATTGAGAATGCTAAAGAAACATACTGTAAAAATCCAGGTAAGAATTTGTTATTTTAATGGATTAAGTATTAATTCATTTTTAAAATCCACAGAGGTAGGTGATTCTAGTGGAATATTTAATGTTGGATATTGTTTTGACGAATTAATTGGAATTGAAAAAGGTGAACATAAAGCATTCATTCATTTCAAAAATCCACTGAGATGGGGAACATTAATGGAATATATAATCCAGGTAAAAGCCCATTTTAATGAAGTTGGAATTGAAAAGGATAAACATAAAGCATTCATCTATTATTTAAAATCAACAAAGATAGATAACGCTAGCGCGATATTTTACTGTTATAACGAACATAAAGCATTCACTCTTTTTCAAAAATTCGCAACGATGGGGAACGCTGATAGACATATAAGTACATATACTGTAAGTCTAAGTAAGAATTTGTTTTTTAATGGACTTGTAATTGAGAAGCATGAGCATGAAGCATTCATTCATTTTAAAAATCACAAGACATGGGGAATGTTGAAACTCGATTCATTTAAAGATAGATTTTGTTACTATGAAGGGATTGATGCTGAAAAGAATAAACATAAGAGATTTTTTAAATTTTTTTTTTTTACCTTTTGTTTAAAAAAAAAAGTAATATTATATATAAAATATTTTTAATAAAATGATAAAATTTAAAGACTTTGTTTTGTGTGATCAAATTTGATTGGTTGATCGCGGGGTGAGAAATATTAGTAGGGCGAGTTCAGAGATGGGGCAAATGCGACGAATTGTCGCTTGAAAGTCGAGTATGCCGCGTAACGTTCCTCAAAGATGGTAGAGGCGGTTTTACGATTTGGCGCAAGGTCAAGGCGATCGTTAAGAAGCGTTACAAGATAGGAGAATCCTTATTAATAATTTTATTATTTTCTTTGTAGCGGCACTTGTCTATACTATTGGACTATAGAACTACAGGGTTATAGGACTATTTTGAACTCGAACTATGAACTACCTTTCAAGAAGGGGACAATTCCACTCTTTTTATAACAAATTGTCCATGAGAAGAGCACGTACAAGACCACGACTCTTCTCTTTGTTCCCATCGAATTCCAATCTTTTTTTGTTTTAACCTTTAACCCCTTCACACAGCCTTCTCGTTACTTTAGCATTTCTCACGGTCGTCATAGAACCGATGAGAAATGTTTCAGTACTGTTCGTCCCGGGGCCAGAACCCAACATAATTATTACAATCGCATCCCTTTGACATCGCCTCACACTTAACCCAAGTAGGAAAAGTGGTGTCAACGTTCATTCCCAGTCGTATTGGTGCGAACAGGTTGGTCCAGATCGACCTTTCTTTAATTGGAGGGGGTTGTGGAGTCCCACATGGAGGCTTATGTGCTATCATATGGCTTTCTTGGATCGGGCGCATATATTTCAAGTGGATCGTCATGGGCACTACCGATTAGGTAAGTACAGGTTCTTCGGCATGACAGTTTTACCTCTGACAATATCAAATATCACTATAGACGCAAACTTATGACATCACCTAGTAATGTCCTATATAAAAATCGGGTTTATAAAATAAAGCGAAATTGAGCCGTAACTAGTAACGTAAATAAGTCTGCATCTATAAATCTCACCTTGGGTGAGAAATCAACTTGCTTGCTATATAATTATATTTGCCTACTTATGCTAAAATTCATCTAAATTGAATACATATCTTTCATGTAACTTTTAACGAAAAAAAACCCCCCATTAAAATTCCAAATATATATTTAAAGTTTAAAATTCAGCTTTATATTTATTTTTTTAATAAAATTGAAAAACCCATAAAGTTGAGATATACTATCTTATTTAATTAAAAGGAAATATCCTATGCCTATTGAGATTTCTGACTTTGAAACTCTAAGATAAATAAATAAAATTAAAGGAAATTGATATTTCCACACCTTTTTTTGATATTGCCGCACCCTTGTTAATAAAACATTATAAATTGGGTTAGGGTTTAAAGTTAGCAGGGGTGTGAAAATATCAATTTTCAAATTAAAAAACATCGATATTTGGTTCAAAATAATTATTTATGTGCTTCACATGATTTTGATTATTTAATAGATGAAATACTGCAACAATTGATGCTAAAAGAGAAATTTTTAAAAAGCATGTTTATATTTATTTTAAGGCTGGGATAACGATAAGGTTAGAATAAGATTAAAAATAAGGATTAGATTAAAGTTAAATTAACCTGATTTGGAAGATACACAGGTACAGTGCATAACTTTATCGGATCCCCAAACATTGGTTTTGTTGTATTAGATATATAGATCGAATTTTTACTGGTTGATTGCATACGTGATAGACTATCAGAATTTCTAGAAGTTTAGTGTCCTACGCTTCGGACAATAAATTTTAACATAGCGTTAGATTTTCTGATTACAAGTACAGCATAGTTAAGTATGGTTACGTATACTGTTTTTATTCAATGAAATTTGTAAATATTTATCTCAATGTTGTATAACTAATAATTAATAGTATAGTACGAGAATGTAGAGATACTACATACGGGTTGTAAAGAAAAAATTCTTTGAAATTTTTCCTCTATAGTTTGTCTTATCCTAACACGAAAAAAAGAACCGAAAAAACAACAAAAAAAATATTATTAGCATTTCCCTTAGCCTTAATAATTAAAAGTAATGTACATACAACTAATGGCGTTCGCAAGCACCCCTCAATGAAATTAATAATGAATTTGATTGTTTGAGAGAGGTGATTGAGACATCCTAAATTTAGTATAACTTCGGACATTTGTCCGAATCTGTACTACAATACAGTACAGGTTATTTTTAATAAATAGGCGTAAATATTCTCATTAAATCTTTTCTTCCAAATAAAAATGTCATTCTTTTCGCTTCTTGAATATATTCCATCCATATCTTCAATTGTATTAAAACATTATACCAAAGGCCCGCCTAAAAAATCATGGGATCTAAAACTTCATTTAGCAATAGCAATGATCAAAGGCGATAATCGTATGTCAAAATTGTCTATTGAACAAACTCAAAAGGAATTTGAAAAATATTTTATGTTTAAAGCACCTCCTCATATAACTATAAAAGAAGTTATATTAGATGAGGAATATAGACAAAAGAGTAAAGCACATTTAGAAAAGATTTTAAAACCATATGATGATGTGTTAGATGAGAATTGGAAAGATCCAAATGATAAAGGATTACATGGAGAATGGCAGTATATTAATGAACAAATCAGTGAAACTGATAATGTGATTTTATATTTGCATGGTGGTGGATTTTGCGTTGGCTCACCTAAATCTGTTGGTGCCATGACAATAAAATTTGTTGAGCTAGCTGATTCTCGAGTTTTTTGTAAGTTTTTTTTTTTTTTTTTTGAATTAGTTAATTTTTTAATCTCTTAGGTCAATTTCTTACGATAATTTCTTTATTACAATTTCTTTAATACAACTTCTTATGATAAAAATATTTTTGATTCAGCACTTAATTATCGTCTTTCTCCACAAAACCAATTTCCTGCCGCTCTTTGTGATTCCATCGCTGCGTATCTATATCTTACAAATCCTGGTCCAAATGCTGGATTTGAACCGATCAACCCTAAAAGAATTATATTGGCTGGCGAGAGTGCGGGTGGCAATTTGGTTTTTTCTACACTTTTAGTTTTAAGAGATGCTGGATTACCTTTACCAGCGGGCGCAATTGTAATGGTGAGCATTAAATAAATAAACAAATAAATAAATATATTTTGTCTTATTAATTATTCGTATTTACCATAACTATTTATTGTTCAAATGATACTCAAAGTCACCATGGGTACGTATGTTTGAAATTCAAATTTAATTTAATTTTAAATTAATGAAAATATTGACGTTATTACTCTTAAAACAGGCTGATTTAACTCAAAGTTTGCCATCCAAATGGAATTCTGAAATAGATAAAATAGATTTTGTACCTTCAGCACTAAGCTATTTTACAAATGTTCCTTCATCGCCTGCCATGGACGAATATCATGCCAATGCAAAAGCTCTAGCTGATAAAATCGCTTTAAAAAATCCTACGATTGTTAGTCATCCATCTTTTACTGAAGTACCTCGTTTTAACTTTTATTGTGCTAATGAGGCGTTGGCAATTCCTTATGTTAGGCAAGTGAACCTATTTAACAATTTAATAGTAATTCTACGTAATTAGATCTTAGTATTTATAATATTTTTGATTTGTAGTCCCATGCTTGCTGAATCTTTAGGGAATTTACCACCTATTCTATGTGTAAGTTACTTATTTACAATATTATTTTATTAATTTATGACTTTAATAAGATAATTAATATGTAAAATGAATTCTAGCAAGTTGGGGGTGATGAAAAAATTCGTGACGACGCTATCCTGATCAGTCATAAAGCTGCGAGTCCTCATAAATATCAATTGCCTTCATATGCAACTAAAAATTTTGAAAAGTCACCTTTTAAGAAACCAACTAAAGTTATACTTGAAGTCTATGATGATATGCCTCATATTTGGCAAGTAAGTATATTTAAATATAAATATATATATTGTCGTAAACACTTAAAATTTATTATTAATTTTACATGTATTAATGATCAAATTATACAGACGTTCACTTTTTCTAAACATTCACAATTAGCATTAGGACGTTGTCGTGATTTTATAAAACGTGTTACTTCAACTGAAGACAATGATAATATATCCATGATTGATCTTATTAAGGAAGAGGAAGTACCCCCTTCCATTTCTATTTCTCCCTCATTTATTGCAATGAGAGTTGGTACAGATGGTACGATTAGAGAATTGAATGAAACTGATCGGGATTGTCTAAAATGGGATAAAATTGGCGTAGTGCCTAAGCCTAAACTTTAAAAAGTAGATATTCTGATAGAATTAACGGATCTTATATAAAATCAGCTTTATAACAACTAACGGTCTTTATAGCAATAATTTTCCTTATCATATTATCATTATAATAAATTTTTCATAAGTTCGTTATGTAGTAAAAAATTCATTATATTCAGAACCGACTATGTTAGGTTTATTCGGGATGTTCGGACTTTTTTGCATATTACATTATATTTATGCAGTATAAACACGTATGATTTAGTAAAGTAGTATAATACATTAAATTAGCAAACACGTGAGTAAAATGAGTATAAAGTAATATGTCGTGCACGGCATGCAAATGTATATAAAATTTATGCAAACATGATGTTAGAGAAAACTAGACTTCGGGCTTTAAAACTTATAAAATCGGGTCGGTAAATACTAATGGAGGATGACTACCTGGTTTTATTTTGATGGGCCAATGCAATTTTATAATCAATTCATCTATGCTCTATAACAGTATAATAAGCTTTTTTAAAAAATATTTATTAGAGACCGGCATTGAATAGTAAACTATTTCTATAAGGAATATAAAAATTTTTATTATAAGAACTATCAGTTTATTATACGAAAGTTAACTGTATACATATGTTGTTATTCATATGCCGATAAAAAATAAAGATGGCTCATATGTAGGAATACAAGAAAACAACATATTCACGCCATAATGAAGTTCCCACTACACCTATAGACTCGAAAATGTTAGACAATTAATTCTATTATATCAAGAGTTCACTCTAACAAAGGTAAGCTGTATTCGGGTACTGGTCCTTTTCGTTATTTAACTCGTGACTATATTTTTAGAACTTTACAACCTTTTATGGTTTCGTTTTAATTATTTATTTGGCATGATTGAACGAAATTCGGTTATAAATCCAGTTACAACGAAAGTTTACTATAACGGGTTTCTTTGGACATAACGAACTTTGAAATTCTTAAATTTATATTAATTAGTTTGTTACATCTAGATTTGTGTACTTAATAATTCAATATCATTTGAACAATTTAATTAATGCTTACTGTTCATTTTAAATCTGATCAAAATTATTATTTATTAATCAAGTTTCTCTTTCGAATCAGGCCTACTGAATAATTGATTGTGTGGGCAATTAATTGCAACTATTTGAACCCAATTAATTGCTATTTTTGCAGTTATTTGAAAAATGTAATGACTTGATAAAATATGTAATAATAAACATAAGTAAGTGTATATTGTAGGTTTTGAATTAAATTGTACAAACCACAAGAATATTAATTTATATAGTACAGCATTCTAAATCTTTTTTTTTTTTTTTAAATCGGTTTCAATGAATGCTAAACTTCTAAACAATTGTTACATAAATGCTTTTTTAGACCTTCAAATGAAGGCAGATATTAGTGTAATTTATGTTATTCCAATCATAATCGATAGTGTTCTTCTGGATTATAGCTGAGATCAAAAAGATGCTTTTTTTAGAACTTCCCCAAATGATGAAATGATGATACTGTGATTAGTCAATTTCAAGCATCACGGAAATCTAATATTAAATATGAAAGTTATATTAATTTATATCCGATTTTTCTACCGTTTATTAATTCCTAATATCAGCAATACTTATTCAACTTTGAAGATTTTTTTATAACTGCCAAGTTAATTCTAATGTTTAAGACCATTTTCAAATTTTATTAGTGTGCGGGATTCAAAAATAGGGTTGAACATTGAAAGTAAAGAAAACATGATCGAGATAACCTTTGTGAAGACTGTAAAAGCGTAAGCAAAAATAACCAAGGAATTTATTATTATCTGGTCAGCAAACTACAAATCTAGTATGCTAATGGATACTATACTAGGGAATCATTTGAATAGTTATTTTTCAGTTGATGGTTTGTTTTTTTTTGATTGATTATTATAGTAATTTGAAAGGTGCAGTGATCAGACACGATTAATTAATGTTACGTACATGGTTTAGCATGTAGTTTAAATATTAATAATTCCGCTTGAAATTAAGCCTTTGTTTATTACTGTTTTCGAAAGGGTTGAAATCAAAAGTAAACAAACACCATTTTTTTGTGTATACCCATATGCAATTTATATTCCCTACATATTAGGAAGAGTTCTAAAAGTTAGATACAAATCAACTAACTTTTTACTAATATAATCTTATATCATATGAAAAAAAGATTTTTTTTGTTGTACAAATATAAAATGCAAAAATATTAGAAGTTATTCGATATTTTAAATGTATGTATTTTAACTTTTCTAATAACTTTTGTATAACAAATCAATATTATGATTCTACTAATGTCTAACATAGATCTCTACCATAATTCTAATGAAATATTAAATTAAATTTTAACTTGACATACAACATATAACATAAAAAATTTATAAAAAATTTTTATTACAGTGAATTTTGCAAATTTCCAAAATTTCCAATTTATATAAAAATAACAAACAGACTATTTTTATTATTTTAAAAAACATAATATTTGATTTGGATGTGCAAAAGTCTAAATTCAATAACTTTTCAGCATTTTGATCATAATTATTACTAGTGATGGGCAAATCGTAGTTTTCTAAAAATCCCGCGCGGGATTCGTGGAATATAGTAAAGTTTTTTAATTTTTCATGAATTATATAAAGATAATCACTAGAAATATAATTTCTTGTTAAAATAATATAGTTTAAATACATTTAGTATTTCAAAATAATGCCAAATCAGTTTATTAACACCCATGTTATAATAATGTTGTTTAAAAAATGACTTAATAATGGTTATATTTATTATGACAAGAAATACTAATTATACGCATATATATATAGAATGATAAACAAATTAATGTTCTACGTAGAAATGTAGACCGGGGTAAAACAGCCACCCAAAAAAGTTTCAGACATCACGTGACAAATATATCGAGCACTAAAAATTCATGTAAAAAATCATTTTTCACCGATTTAAACCTTGCGATAATAAATAATACGTCTATTGAGTTATTCGAAATAAATAAAATGATTAATTTATTACTTATTGTTTAAATTTTTTGTTTGTATTTTTTTATTAAGCTACATGAAATTTTAGCGCTCGATATATTTGTTACGTGACGTTCGAAACTTTTTTGGATGCGATTTTACCCGTCTTAGACATTGGGCCATTAATGTTAATGCAGGCCGGATGATATTTAATGCAGGCCAAATAATCTCATGTCAAAAATCCCGCGCGTGGCCCATCACTACCTTCGAACAAACGGTAGATTTAAGGGTTTGATAGTTTAATGATTTTATACTTGACGTATAATTTGAAATATTGATAATTTAAAATAATTATTATGGGCAGGAAGATTTTAGACCAAGTAATTATCGCGAAAATATCATTTGCAAAGTAATTTGTCACCAAATCCAATATGTAATGTCAAATCAGCGTCAATAGGATCTTAGGACTTACTAAATGTTGTGTGCAAATATGATAAGTTTATGAAAAAGAAAACTTTTATTTTATTTATATTGGCATAATATCTATTGATTCATAAAGTTTGTTAAAGTGCTTATTAAGTAATTAGTAAGTAATTTATAATACTTAATTTATACTTATTTAGTATAAGGTAGGTTGGAATCTAATTAAAAATAATTAAAGTACTTTTAAAATATTATAAAAATTAAGTATTTAATAATATTAAATTTAATATCAATTAAATTCTTAAAATTTTAATTTCTTTAAAAATACTAAAACAAGTACTTATCTAACATTGCTATTTAATTGTATTTAGTACAACTCCTAATGATTAGTCTATTGTATTTGTAAATTTTGAATTTTGTATTTATAAATTTGGAAATTTGGAAAATTTTTTAAGAATGAAAAAATGTATCAGGAAGCTTTAAAGAAGTATTTTTATAAATAATTTTCAATAATAATTTCTTTTCTTTAGTACGAATAAAATTATCGTTAATTTTTAAATCAGTTAAAGTGTTATTTTTGCAAAGAATTTCCACTAATATTTTTCCCCCTTCAAAACAGAGTTGATTAAAAGAAATATTAAGATTTGTTAAACTAGTATTTATGCAAAGAGCATTTGCTAATAAAGCACCTTCTCTTAGACCAAGTTGATTATTTTTAAGATTTAAGGAGGTTAGAGTTGTGTTTTTACAAAGAGCATGGGCTAACATGGTTATTTCTTCAAACCCAAGTTGATTATTTTCAAGATTTAGAGATTTTAAAGTGATGTTTTTGTAAAGAACGTCTGTTAATGCTTCCATACCCTCAAAGGTAAGCTCATTATAGCCAAGATTTAAGGACGTCAAAGTGGAATTTTTGTAAAGAACATCTGCTAACGCTTTTGCACCCTCAAAACCAAGTTCATTATTACAAAGATTCAAGGAAGTCAAGGTGGAATTTATATAGAGAGCTTCTGCTAGAGACTTTCCTCCTTTTGGACCAAGTTTGTTGCCGTTAATATTTAAAGAAGTCAAAGTAGAATTTGAACAAAGAGCTTTTGCTAATTCTTTTCCACCTTTATAACCAAGATCATTAGAACTAAGATCCAAGGAAGTTATCGCTGTGTCTTTACAAAGGGCTTCTGCAAATAGTTTTCCTCCTTCAAAGCCAAGATGATTATTACCAATATTTAAAAAAGTTAAAGTGTCATTTATACATAAAGCTTTTGCTAATTGTTTTCCCCCTTTAAAACCTAGTCGATTATTATAAAGATTTAAGGACTTCAGAGTGGTATTTTTGAAAAGGGCATTTGCTAATAATTTACCCACTGCAGAGCCAAGATCATTACCACCAAGCCGTAAAGAAGTTATAGAGATATTATTAGAAAGGGCTTCTGCAAATACTATTCCACCCTCTAAGCCAAGTTGATTATAGCCAAAATCTAAGGAAGCTAAAGTGCTATTTTTGTGAAGAGCTTCTGCAAATGCAACTGCTCCTTCATAACCAAATTCATTAAAGGAAAGATTTAAAAAGGATAAAGATGTATTTTTACCAAGTGCCTTTGCTAATATT